CATCTCTCGAAATTTCCTCGAAATTTATTGTTGACGCTTTTCCGCGATAGATTCTCTCGCTGCGCTAACTTTGTGAATAGCTATCATTGTATTGATTTCACAGATCGTTTTGACAATTGTGTATCAAAAAGTTAAAAATATTATAATGTAACAGTAGTATAATAGTATTATATTAATTTTTGCTCTTGTGTTGAAAAAAATAAATAGTAAAAAAATAAATAAATAAATTTAAAATCGTTAAAATTAAAGGATATTAATAAATTGGTAATATAATTATGTAAAATAAAGTTTTATAAATATACACATTTTATTACCTTTAAAACGCTTTTGTTTTTAAATTATAATATTTACAATTTAAGATTAATGTAGTTATGTATTTGAAAATAAGTGGGAATAGCCAAAAGATGGCGGACTAATTAAAAGTTGCTTTTTCGTGGCCAGTCTCTGATTATAGTGTCTCTAACAGTGCTGTATCGAGTCGCTATGACAGATTTCCTAACCAAAAAAGTAGTCAACTTTAATGCTTAATATCTTGATTTGTAAGGCAGATCGCCACGTTTTTCTGCCAGATTCTTTTATTTTGAGCGAAACCGTCGATTGAGCCTCCAAATTTATCAAAATTGGAAGTGATGGGAGTATTCTAAATAATTATCCAAATCCGTAACATTTCCTTACTGCTTAAGTTTTACTACTTAAAATTTTTTTGCGTGCCCCATTTTTAATCTTTTTGAAACATGATTTCATGAATGATAGAAGTTGCGAACAGCGACTTATAAGTTAAGACATTAGAAATGAAACACGCGTGGTACATTATATTATGATACATTATATTAAGCCTATTGCATGGAATGCATAGAACATAGCAGCGTATTAAACCGCCGGTACACGGTGCTTTTTTTGAACATATTTATAGCGTTTTCAATTTGCTGACTCGACTCGACATTAAGTTAAGTCGGGTTAGATCACAAGTTCGATATCTGTAATGAGACTCGATATTTGCAAACATGGCGGAAGATTTTGTATCTTTATATCTTCTAACATTTATCAAAAATTAATTTCTACAGACTTTCAGGTCCTATTAAATAATATTACAATATTAAGTAGTACTATAGTATATACTATAATACTATAGTAATTTCTTATCTAATCTATTCAATTGTTATAGATCCCATGTCTATACTAAAACCTAGTCTGACATAATATAAGGCTATAAGGCTGTAAGGCGTGATTGTAAGAACCTATTTAAATGAATTATTTTCATATTTCTTAAGCCTAGTTTACAATGACATAACATAAGGCTATCATATCAGATTAGCGGTTGCTCAGCTACGGTTGCCGGTTGACGATTCTATTATTACCAATTACATTGACTATAACCAGGATCTGCTACATTGTGATTGGCTGAAATACAATCATCAACCGATAACCGTAACCGCGCAACCGTTAGTCTGATATGGCCTTAAGGCTGTAAGGCATAATTGAAGAACTTACTTAAATGAATTATTTTCATTTCTTATGTTTAACAATCTTACGTCACAGTATAACTATGCTGTATACTTATGTTATGTCATTGTAAACTAGGCTTAAACTAGATTACTAACTAGGGCTTTGGACTTGCGTCACATGCGTTTTCCGGTTGTATGCGAGAAAATGGCAGTAGTCCTGTGTATGTGACGTGATACTTGTTTAAATCTTACAGCATCACTGTATGTATGGCTATTAAATTTCTATAAAAATGCCAACATCTTGTTGCAAAAAGTGTCAAAAAATGTCTTAATAAAAAAAAGATATTAGTCTATTTAAGTAAGTTTTACATTTATATATATAATAAATATATAAATGTTCCATGAAACGTAAATAGTGATGCAATAGTGATGCAGATTAATGCAATTTTACAGATTATGATGAAAACGAAATTTTTAATATTTTAGATTTTTATTTAAAAGAGAAGATTATTTGAAAAAATATGATTTCAAAATATTGGAATTTTTCTTTTTAACAAAAGATAGCCGAAGATTCTAAAAAGCGATATATAGAATAAAATTGTTACTAGAGTAATAAGAAAATTTGTATTAAATACAAATGTATTTCTATTAGATACTAGATGTTTCGATGAATTAGAAATTGGAATAGATACTCCAGATCGTGTTCAACTAATAACTGCCATATGTAGGCAATATTTAACAATAAGAATGTTTTCATATTCGAATAAATTAAATAAGAAAATTATTCTAATTAGTCAACGTCATCAATTGACCAAACTCATTTTATTTTATAATTAACTTTTTAAATTTTTGTAATTTTTATTTTTTTTATATTTTGCTTCTTTTTATTTTCCTTTTTATTATGTTGAATTACATTTTTTTATGTTTTGCAAACTCTTTTATGTTCTGTACTCTTCATGACAACAATTATTCATAGCTTTATGTTTTTTTATATTATAAATAAATAAATAAATATATATATAATGTTGATATATATATAGCGTTGATATATAATTTTATTATATGTTAAGTTCAATATGTTTTTTAAATATTATTTATCACAGTTAAATGGGCCTTTTGATTATTCAACAATTAAAATAAATATTATTTTTAATTTACACAGTTTGAGTGAAACAATAATTATTACAAAACTTTGTTGAATATCACACGCAATAACTATTTTAAATGTGATGGCAGCGGTCATTTTCTCGCATACACCGGAAATCCTATCGGATGCAAACCACGCATCTCGATAATGACATGTTAGCAATCTAGTTTAGTATAAACATCTTTATCATTTTTCGATTCAATTACTCTGAGTTGTACTCTTTTTATTTCTATTTCCAAAACTTGCATCTCTTTCAAGTGTTGCATTTCTAAATTGTTAATTTCTTTTAAATGAATTTCCTTTATATTGCTCATATTCTTTTTATGTTTTTGTTTAATATGTGCTAGTTATTGTTCTTGACCTATTACTCGTCTTATACGTTCCGCATGTAACGTATCTTCCAACAATTGATCTTCATCTAGTACATTTCTTTTTCGTTTCAAAGAATGCATCTTTTTAGGTCTTTTTTATCATTCATTTTATCGTTCAATGATTGTTCTTTTTGTACATCAATTTGTTGTTCCTCTCCACTAGATAAAATGGTTAGTGTCATCCTTTTCTGTTTCCTTTTTCGAATATTTCTGTAAAGCAATACATTTATTATGTGTGTGTACATTTATTTTGTGTGTGTATGGTGTGTGTGTGTGTGTGTGTGTGTGTGTGTGTAGTGTAT